CATCGGCTCCATGTGATCGCGAGGGTCCCAACTCAAAGAAGCCCGTCGAAGTGAGGGTAACCATCCTTCCCACAGAAGTCTGTCGTAGGCACTAAGGCGATCTGGATAGGTGTTTCTTTTCTAACTTTATGGCTAACAGGATAGAAAGACGTCTAGCACATGGCTGAAGATTCTACCTGTAAACATTGAGACATTTTCAGCATCCACCAAGATATCACGCCACTCCTTCATTAGGTCTACGCCATAAATGAGGTGATCGGGATCAAGCGGTCGCCATTTTGAGAAGTATTCACTAATCTGCAAAAGTAACCAACGTCATTTCAAACTGGATATGAGCAGGTCATGCTGGGAGATCCAAAAATGGATATTCTGTTCAAACAAAACATAATTATACCTGTGGAAGAACAAGAGGCACCGCAAGCGCCTCGATATTGAACATATGATACTCTTCTTTGTATTCAGTGCGTAACTTTGTGAACAGAGCTTGACAGTCGTTAATAGAAGGAGCTTCATCACCTTTTCGTTTGGAAAACCTGCACAGTAATATTGAATGCTTAGGTTATTCGACATTTAGAGAGTAATATGAACAGTGAACTCATACTTTTCAATCAAGTCGTAAACCTCTTTGATCTTTTCGCTAGCCCTTTCCTCACTTTCAAGCATTTCCTTCGCCTGCTTGAGATCATATTCCAGTGCAGTTGTTCGATCCTAAAATGGCATAATCAACTCTGAACAAACGGAAATCAATTCAAAGTTGCTTCGACTGACACCTTACCTTGATCGTTTTTAACTGATGATCATTTCGTCGTATACTTTCCTCCGTCAGATCAACAAGCAAATTCAAGTTATGCATTAGCTCAGGTACATCAAAATTCTCACGATCGCTCATATCGTTGAACACCGGTCTGAACTTTTCATCTTTAATTAAAATGCAACAAAAACTCCTAGACTAATTATACGTTATACCTATTCTTCATAGAAAATGAATCATATCCACTATACACCCGTTGCTCTGGCCCTGTCATATCAATGACTTTCACTCCAGTTTGTACTGCTGAACGGAATCCAATAGATCCGCCTTCTTCTATAACCTCATCTAAGGTCTTGTAACGAGTTTTGACCTAAATTAGCCTTTCAAGCACCTCGCAAAAAATAGTTTTAACAAGAGGAACTGAGCAGGGATTCTTTTGATGAAAAAGGCAATGCTGCTAACCTTTGACGCTTTCTTCCAAGCGGTTTTTAGCTGAGGAGTAGATACTTCTTCCGTCGCCTCACCAGCTTCTCGCTGCTCAGCTATGCGACGCTGTGCATCAGCAGCGGTTTCTTGAATGAACGGATCCAAACAATGTAGAGAAGTAATAATTTGAATTACCTCCAAATCTAGGCCCAACTGCTTCTTTTCCATAAGCTCCAATAGCTCCGCGACCTTTACGAACAGCGGCCTGTACGGGTTCAACAATTCCTTGCCTCGAAGCTCCCAGTCCCTCGCCCTCTTTGTATCCCATGGCCTTGAAGATATTTCAATGTGTGAAAAGTGTTGCTTCTTCGAAGAATGAACTAACTTCCATCATTTTCTTGACCACACCCCCTTTGCCATATTTAGTCCAATCGCTGGATGCATTTGGATCTACAGCGCTTCTGACAGCAGATGTACGCATTCCTAAACAGGGAGTATTATACTGTTTCCTTGAAAATATCACAGGATCACAGTTAAGTTGAGCAAG